TACATAGGAAAATGAAGAATCAAAGCGAAAAAGCGCAAAATGTATAATACATTTTGGACTTCATGCAACATTTTATAAATACGATGCGATAAATGGATGCGATAGATGGTTTTCACATAGTTTATATTATTTCCATACGTAGCATACACAGCTTTAATGAAATGTACGTTTATAAAGCGCTACTCCGGCTCACAATATTAAAAATACACACGTCACTGTGGAATAGCATGCTTCATTCGCGGTTTTACGTTTACGGCCGATATAGGAACTCTACTTGGTAGTTTTTAAAATCTGCTCACGAACTCGTTATCAGGCCGTTCCATTACCAAATTACAAACTGACCGCGCTATTAGCGTCAGTGCCGGTTCGATAAATCCGGCGCGAGCCAATTTGCCAAATTGTTTATCGGGCGCTTTCGTCTCTGTTAACGCACCGTACATTTTTCACGATTCCGCCCCTCTGAAACAACGAGATTTTTACGAGTGTATCGTTAGCGTATCATTTTCAGCTTGATCAATTAGCCGATTTTTTAAACGCTCAACAAATCGATCACGTCGACAGCTGTTGTTTTTCTCGTCAAACAGCTTTTACGATATTATTTTACGCGATTCTGTATAACGAAATTTTGTAGCAAGATATATCGGTTTGGTTGTAAAATTCGTGCGTTCTTCTCGCTCGATGCCTGGATATCGTTAATTTATTGGAATTCAATTAGCTCCCTCGGGAGCCATTTATTTCCTAACCGTCCGCGTATTATTTCATGATTTAAACAATTCAACAAACTAAACTGGATATTCTCCAAGAGCAGAAGTAATACGCGCGTACGTATAAATGTACCGCGTATAAACGAGAGAGACAATCGATAATATTGCGAATATGACGTCTCTGAAAACCATTCGAAATTTAGCAATCTTTTTGCTTTTCCTCTGTAATCGCCGAGTGCATTTACGTGTTTTGGCGACCCAGGTTTCGTCTCAAGTACATTGAAACTCTCTCGGACGCAATTTGTCCAGCGAGTCTTTCAATATACGAATATATCGTATAATGCGACGTACTTAACGGATCGTGATAAGCGCTTTTGCATAAAATGCGAATTAGAGCCCAGACAGGTGGATGTGACGTTATTAAAGATTTCTATATACTACACGGGTGAAAATAAATCGATAGTCATTGGATATGATATGTTAGTACAGATCGTCTTATAATAGTCATCTTTCCGATACGACAAACAACCACTTTAGAAAGAGCCGGTTCATAGACGCGAAATGGAGAGAAGACACACAAGAAAAAGATGACAATCCGAATTGATGAGGGTAGACGGTCAGTGCCAACGTATCGGATATTTACTTGGTCGTTTATCTTGGTTCATAAATGCACGATCTCACGGGTAATTTCGCAAATTGGAAACTCAGCCATGATCACGCGCCATCCTCGGTTCTCTGTAATGAAATTTGCGGCCCTCGTCACCGTTGGCGCGAACGACGATGCCGGCCATGCAATTCTGCACGCCGCTATTCTAAATAACCGGAATTGCGAAAAAGACAAATTGAAATGATCGTGTCCTAAATCGACTCGAAATCGGGTATTAAGCGGAAGGCATTTTATTTTATATTTTTTTTTGCCCGTTTCCTATCGACAAAGAAATATAACAGAAATCACTGAATGCTGTCCAAAATGATTTCTGTCTAAGATGAAACGGTAATATATGATGATATGGTTTTCAGCTTAAAAAATGTACCTTAGAAAATTCAATGATATTATTTTCCTCTCGTTTCCTTCCTAATTTTAAATTTTTACAAAGAAAGGAACGCGTCAATTAGTTTTATTACAAAGCGTCAGTCTACTTTCAAGTAATATGATATATTTCGTATAATATATAAGTCAGTAAAATTTGGAAGTTCTTCCAATTATGCCACTCATCTTTTCTCTTCTGATTCTTTTGTCATTACATTAAAATCTTCGGAGCGTATCATAGCAGACAGTTTGAAATTCTGACAGATTTTCCTATCTCGCAGAATTATAACAATAAGCATGCCATCACATAATAAGTCTCACAGCTTGTCGACAATAGTATTATTCTACTACTTACGAAATGTACCGTTTCGTACTCTATTCCGTAATGCATAAGATTTCATTTACCTCGAGTAAAGTACTCTTGGCGTTCTACTTTAGCGCAGTTGTTTCCACGAAAATGCAACGTTTTGTGTCTGAACATCTTAAACGAACAAAACGTCAATTGATTCAAAATCCTCCTCGACGTATCATAACCGTCGAGGCAACAACACGAAACTGTGTAATATTGGCACACAGTGTTGGTTAAATCGCAATAAAAATATCATGCGCGACACAAATAAAAAGCGGCTTACATTTTTCCACTCTTTTTTTACGCATAGAAAAATTAAATATACTTTGATATAAACAAAGTAAACAGAACATTTTATCGTTATCCGATAGATAAAGTCGATTTAACCATGCGAATTATGGAGAGCACGCTTTTTTTCACGTGCACAGGTGAATTTTTTATACAATGCGCACATAAAAGCATATTGTAAGCTACATATATTTCCGTGAAATAGAATTTTTTGCAATCATACTTATCGCGACAATCAAGATCTCGATATTGTATAGTATTGTTTATCTCTGTAGAATATTGTTTATAATAAAAATTTACAACTAAATTATAAATTAACGTAATAATATTGAAACAATAATACTTATGATTTCTCATATACGTTTGTTTTACAATACTTTCACGTGCGCGCCCTATTCAATCCGAAAATTGGAAAAAAATTCACGACACGGGAGCAAGTTAAAGTACTTAATACATACCTGTCAAAACTGATTCGCTGAATTATTTGAAGCTCAACGTCGCTGCAACGTGATATTTCAAGCTGCCATCCATCTGCACGGCTTAAGATCCATACCATCAGGAATCTACGATAGATGATGTAAAACTGTCATGTTGCGTCATAATCCCTGTCGGGGAGGGACGCTTTATTGAAATATTCATAATCATTCCCTTTTTTGCTCCAGGGACGCGACGCTGTAATTTCGTGTTCATCCCTCGGAGGCATGTTCACCTTTCTACCTAAAAAAATACGATAACAATGCGATTATTCTCGGTCGCAATTCATTCTCTAAACAATTCAGATTATACTAACATAACACCAATACATACCTTTTGCATTTTTATTTATAGATCATCTTTTTTTTATTACGTCGCATAACATAATTGGCTGTTGGAGATATAAATAAATACGGCAATTTTTAATAATGACACAGATTTTCTGATTTATTATTCCTCTTCCACCGCAAGCTTTTTCAACTCGATGGCCGCAATCAAATTAATTCAGCCAATTAACCGTGTTAGAAGTCATAAATCGTTTTGCGTTAATTTGTCCGCGTTATCAAAGCGACATCGGCGTCGGCTGTTTCAGCCTGTTTAAAAAGCATCTCCTTGGTGCGAAATGTGTTCATTGTCCCATTCGACAAGCAAAGTCATATTTTCCACGGTCCATTATCGTATTCCGCGGAATACGGTGGTCGTTCGACATCATTTCGCGGCAGGTCTTTGATAATTTATCGAGAGCGTACGCGTCGTTTCGGTGCACTTTGCCGCTGTTTCTGGCTTCAGGTTATCGATCGATACCGGTTGGTGTACGTACATATACAAGCACAAGAAATTAATTTCGTATGCACCCTTCCATGCGAACTGGGATAACGAGTAGAGTCGCAGAAGCCATCGCGACTGCTATTGTGCCACAGACTGTATTTTCTAAGCGCGATATACGCTCGATTGTCCAAGTTGCGATAAATTTTGATCCACATTGCATAGATGCGAAAATAGAATCGGCTGCTTGAAATAAAGACGTTTGTCGTGCTACTTGAGACGATATATTTCTGTATGTCCAAATATATTATAATCCTGTAAGAAAAATAATATATATTAGATTTCTGATATATATAGCGCGTCTCAATATAATATATACATATATATGCTTTATTAACTGCAGAGAAAAATGATCATATACAGAAAATAACATACGGTTAAGAATATTATTCTTACATATTAATTTAAGGTTAGTATAATTGCGCTGCCGCCAAGTAAAACTGGAAATTCATATAAAGTCTTTCAGAGAGCCCAAAAAATACGGATTATTTCATCTTGTCCAAGTTAAATGCGTCATCGGAGACTGTTAAAACGCGTTTCTCCTTCCTGTTATACTCTTTTATTGCTTGATATCAGATTACATCCTTGATAAAGATAGAAAAACGAGAAATGAGAACTACTGGAATTCCTTTAACGGCATTCTGTAAACAGGTCCGTTTCGATTCGAGTCGTCAATACTCTCCGCTTGGGAATAAAATCGTGCGAATACCTATCTCGAGAATCCGGGTTTCTGCACTTTAGCTTTGTGCAAACAGAGATTTAGTTTTGATCCGGAACAATAGAATCATAGATCAAATTATAGATTGATGCGCACCGTATCTCGTTATCGACGCCGTCTTCCTCCGCTTCAGCGCTTTGAATTTGCAGTGGAACTGAACCGAAATCAGTGGCTCACAGTCCACGGTCCGCGCGTCGATTCCACGTTCCTAACACAGGTGTGTAATGTAGTTGGCGGCAGTGACGCCTTTTCGCTCGTTCGCGAGGTGAATATTGCACGATTCGCGGCTTGCACGAAAGTATCTATCGAACGGATTTCGTGGGGGAATTGAGTGCGTAATCTTTCATCGTTTATTCGGTTCGATTTGATGGAAATCAAGTTGTGGTTAATTTGTCAGCGCGCCCGCTCGCGACATCGCGGGTCGCTCGGTGTCGACCGGTGACGTCACGATCACTCTGACGCTTGGCGCTTAGCGCCTCGATTCCGCGGTTCGACTGAAGTCGCCTATGTGGTCGGCAGAAATATTGTTCGCCGCTTTAAGCGCATTTGTTGAATTTTGTGTGTGATTCGCGGCTTACCGAGAGTGTTGAGCGAGAGTATTTGCCGAACGGATTTCGTGGAAATCGAGTGCGTCTCGGGCTTGTAATCTTTCGTCGTTAATTCGAATCAATTTCATCGAAATGAAGTTAAGGTTGATTTGTTAGTACGCGCGTCCGCAAGGCATCGCGGATCGCTCGGTCTCGACCAGTGACGTCACGACTACTCTGACGTTTGCGCCTCCATTCCGGGGATTCGGGACTGAAGTCGCGTAATGTGATCGACGGGAATATCGCCGCTTTCGTTGAATTTTGCGTGATTCGCGGCTTACCGGGAGTGTTGCGCGAGAGTATTTGCCGAGTGGGTTTCGTGAAAATCGAGTGCGTCACGGGCTCGTAGTCTTTCGTCGTTAATTCGAGTCAACTTGATCGAAATCAAGTTAAGGTTAGTGCACGCGCTCGCGATATCGCGGGTCGCCGGTTTCGATCGGTTACATCACAATTGTCGACACGTTTACGGCTCTTTTATATTAATTATCTGCTTTTTTTGATCGATGGATGAATAGAGATGATTTATCCGCTTCGTCGGCAATAGCGGTAAGTCTATTCTTTTCCTGCTGTCTTTATTCGACCATAAAAATATTGCTGTTAATTCAATAGAACGGAGATTGGGAGCAATTTTAAATACACAATTGTTCTTTTATATTTTTTGAGTGGATAATTTAGCGGACAAAAGCAAGCAGTATTGGATTTTGTATGAATATATTTTTTGCCAACACAGCATAAAATCTGTTCAAAAATAGCATTTCTTTACTCCTTTATTCTCGATAAAAGCATTCTTGTTGGCTCTTGATCAGTAAGACAGATTTGTAGGTAGATCATTTTAAGCGACTTTTTAACTACTTATAGACGGAGCCATTATATAGCCGAGAGATTATTTCAAACATCTCGTGCGGGTATGACTGCTGAGTCGCAACCACAACAGAGGCCGTATATCGAGACAGCCTGGTAGCGTGGACGATGATGGATGAACACGTAGAATAGAAAATCTTGGCTGCGAGCAGTAGCGTGATATTACGCAGAAGAAGCAGGAAAAGTACAGGAGAAGGAGGAGAGGGTGGAGGAGGCAAAAGCAAAAATGACGGGTATGAATTATTACTACGCACGCTGGTGCTCTCATATTTCCACAGACGCCGCCGCGCCGCAAAACTGAGTAATCATATATCGTCGAGGCTTCGACATTTTTTACATTTACTTCGGAAATGCTGATAAAATCCGATTATGCGACCACGATGTCACTTTCGGACAATGAAAAATTTGCTAGTATAGCCCCGCATGAGGTACGGTGATTTTATATCTCTTTTCCGATAAAAATATATAACTTAAATTTTTTCGAGGTACTAGATTTTTCTATTTTCACGCACGTACGTTTCAGAAAATGATGATAAAAGAACAGTATTCACAATTAATCACTGTTTAATAGTCCTTTTCGTACAAGTATTGCAATTATTCTTGCTTTAATGAAAAGATAACAATATACCATATAGTTTTCTATAAAATTATAACATGCAGTTAAAATTATATATGCTTTTGTAATGCTTTAAGAAACCCTATCTTATAATATTATAAAAGATTTAATTATGTGTGGCTACGAATCTTAACCACTTTAACTGCGTATGATATCGGATTACTTAACTTTTCTTGCCCGCGAACGATAATATAATAGGTACCGCAAGCCGATGTTTATGCCTGATTTCTTAAAGTCGCAATCACGTTAGAGATGTAATCATAAAAAGCATGCATTGTGTCGGATTAATCGAAAAAAACAAGAGACAAGGTAACGTAGGACACAAAGAAAGACGCTGTAACGTGCACCCGCGTTCCCATGTACTGTGACTTAATTAATCATATCCTGTTATTGGCTGCTGACGATATTAGAAACTCTTTAATTCGTTACCATCGTTGCGCGAGCGAGCTTGGATCGACAGGGGTTGAAATTCTCATTAATTAGTCACCGAAGCGCGACCGCACAACAGGGACGTTTGATTAAATTTTTTTTTTTCTCACTGGCATAGCATTTCGATCCGCTTAACGTCGGCAACCACCAACACGCACACACACACGCACACTCACACACAGGTTTACCGTTCGCACCCGCAAAATCCTTTTTTTCGACTACACCCACGCTGGCGCGTTACCTCGCGCGCGATTAAAGTATTAAATATTTAATAAGAGCGCGTCCGGATGCCACACCGTTCTGGCGGTCTGCATGACACGTGGATAAATATTAATAAACGCCAAACGTCGAGGTTCGTCGTTCGCGCATTAATATCCAAATATGTTTTGTTGCGCTTATATGATCCAAACAATAGCTTTCATATCACGTGCACATATAGTAAAATATATTCCTTTTAATCCGCGCGTTGCAGCTGATATTATTTTTATTATAATATTTTACTCAGATGATAATGAGGATATATACAAGGTGTTAAAAAAAAAACCATTTAATATTTATATAGTAGATATAGGATACACCATACTGAGTAAAAAAAACTTTAGTAAACATAGAACGAAAACTCAACTATTTCTGAGATATAAACATTTTTGTATATTAGTACCATGATTGACTTACTGGCTTCTATGTGTCGCATGCGACGTGGGAAGAAGATAATCTGTCTTTATCTCGATATTTATAGAACGTGTTTCACATATCCTCCTTCCATTTCCATACACGCTTGGCATCTTCTTCTTACAGAATCGCGAACTATGTAATCACCAAATAGATCCGCAATTGTCGATTGATGACAACTGACTGATTACCGGTGAAATCTTCTGTTATGAAGTATGTATGGAAATTGAATGAAAACATTCAAAACGCGGTTTATAAACACTGAGATAAACATCACATACGACACGTAGAAGCCAATAAATCAATCATGATGTTAACATACAAAAATATTTATATCTCAATAACAGTTGAGCTTTCAACCTATTTACTAAATTTACTAAGATTTTTTTACTCAATATGGTGTATCCTATCTACCATATAAATATTGAATGGTTATTTTTTGAACAACCTGTATTTGTTATGAATATATTACACATCTCCAAATTATATATAAATTAAATCTTTTATAATAGTATAAGAAAATTTCTTGAAGCATTACAAGAGCATATATAATTTTAACCAATATATTTTATATATATATAAATATTTTATAATTTTGCTACAAATTGATCTTAATTTCTTTTATAATATCATTCGGTTGCTTAATTCAGTTGATTAATTACGATTTATGTGTACGTTTATCAGATATTTGCTACTTTATATAAGGCACACGCGATTCTTACCTGGAATAATAGTCGAACACGTAATCGCGGATTGCTTACTCATAGTGGGTGGTGAGTCACAAGAGAGTGTGATTCAATTCCTCAATTGCTAAACATTTTACAAAATTCGTTACTATAGATCACAGATTTATTTTATTATATATATACATACAAGAAGAGAGAAAGGGAGAGAATGTATATAATATATATAAAATTGTAGATATACCTTTTGTATACTGCAACTTTAATCTTTCTTTAATGCTTCTCTCTATTTTTGATACATGTTGAAAAGTTTTGAGTTTAAGTAAATCCTTCTCGAAATAAAATAGAATTCTGCTATTAACCGACTATATTCTCATCATATTTTCATGTGTGTGCAGTTTCAATACAGCTTCAATCTCAGATAGCCCCATAATTAGGCGCCAAAGTAAATGTTTGTGTAGGAAATTCTATCGTATACTCTCATATAACGTCTTAAATATGACTGCAGCTGATTTTCCTCTTCCATCTTTTCTAAAAATAATAAAGCTATTAAAGCCGGGCATTAAACTCCGTCTGTCGTATAACACGTGGCATAATGATAAATTAATCGAGCGACAATTAATTAAAACGTATTAGAAAGCTGTCTCACGGAAAGAGAGCGGGAAAGGAACGTCACGTGACGCGAAAGCGAATACGATTCATCATGTTTTGCGTCGTCGGTGCGCGTCGATGATAATAAATCCTTGTCGAGGCAGAGAGCTTGTCTCAGTCAAGCCGGAGAGACGAAACCGTCATCGTACGCAATGATGACATTGGCACGTACTTTCCGGTTTCACCATTTCTACGTCGCGCTTTTCCATCGGAATCAACCGTCGCGGCAACGGAGCTGATATTTCGTCGACTCCATTTTCCGCCTTGTGACCGTCGAGAAAGCTATGCTAAATAATGATCTACTGCGATCCCCCATGGAGCCGCGAATATACGGCGTTGTACCGTGTAACGTCAGTCGCAAAGCCCGTTTACCACAAAACGACGCCCGTCGTCGTCCGTAATAATTATTGCAATGCCCGTTTACAAGGAGTGTTTTATGCTCGGCCCGTAAATTCCCCGCGAAACATGCACAGCGCGCCGAATCACGACATTGGAATTCGTTTAATCGTCGGAGATGAATTGTTCGTGTGAATTATTTTTATTATTTACTACCCGATAGTGGGAACGAGAAAAAACTCTCGCCGCTCGGTCATTTTAGATATATCGAATCGCTCTTTATACTATGTGATGCAGTATACTATCTGCGATTATGTAGAAAAAAAAATTACGCGAAATGCGCAGAGTGATGAGATTTTTCGGTAAATAAAAATTCTAAACTACTGAAAGAGTGAAAAATGCTCTGCAATCTATGCACAAAATTTTTTTTATCACGCTCATGTGGAAAATCTGTAGATAAATCGTGGTAGATCCTTCATCGCGTTAGCTCTCTCAGCGGCTTTCATCTAGATCCACCGAAAAATCCCGTCCTTGGAAGATTTAATGACCGCGCAAAATCGCTGACTGGGTTGCTCGATAACGTCCAAAGATTCGATTTGCATCGATTGCCAGACGAACAATAACTCCGTGACCGAAGAGAAAGAGAGAGAGAAAACCCGGCATTGATTTTCTGCGCAATTTAAAAAAGCTAGCCCATACTTCTTGACGGTGTCTCCCGGAGCGAGAGAGCGTAATTTAATTTTAACGCCCGCGTGGCTGGCGGTGTACAGGTATTGCGGGCGAGCACAATCGATCGATAAGCAAAACCGGTCGTGCTCGCCGATGGTATTATTCGTGGAAGAGACAACGGAAGTTTATAGTTCACCGTCGCGACGTTTTATCTGCAATCAAATTCGTTTATCGTCGACGCGCGATACTTTTCACACTCGTTTACCGATAGGAGAACCGGTAAGTGCGCGGTGGGGAATTGATGGGATTTGAATCGCGGTTGACAATCACAGTTCTATACATACATATATCCCGATAATTGTCGTCGGTCATAAAAGATCGTAATTCTCTTCTTTCTGTCACAAGTGCCATTATATTCAATCCTGTTCAATAGCAAATATTCGTCGCGCCGATGTGATTTCGCGATGCGCGTGCGATGTGATGTAAATGATATTTTATGCAATAAATGAAGGGTTCTCTGTAAATGAAAAGATTCAATAGCGGAAACGAACAATGAAACCTGATTCCTTGATTTAATCCAAAGCATATAAATATTTAAATATATATTATACATATATGTACACACATACATACATGTGCGTGTATGTGTGAAATATACAAGTATGGAATATATCTCATTGCAAAAATAATAAAAATTACACAGGGATGAAAATCTATATAGAAGCGAAAGATCTGATGCAAGCATCGCGATTAAATTGCGCCCGGATAAGCCGCGTGACCTCGTTTATAGCACGAGAGATGTGCACACACGACTGTTATAGATCGAAATTAAAATTAACCCCTCTTGCGCGTCGTGCTAGTATCACTTGCTAAACGTTCGTCGCAATTGAACGCGACAGCACGTACGATCGCATGTACTCCCGTAGATCGGGGTCGATTCTATTGCACTCATGAGAATATTTATGTACAATCCGTTACCACGAACGTGCTGCAAGAATAATCACCGGTGTGCACGCTTGCACATTATGTGTATATATGTATATATATACACACGCACATGCGAAATATCTATACGCGTTTATTTATCGCCCAATAGAAACCGCGGTCGATATAAACTCGATCTTCTCGTATCTATAAGCGACCCGATTTTCGCAGGGCTCTTGAGACTGTTATGTAA